GTGCAATGAGGAGAATTGCAGGACAGTTAAATGCCACAAGCAGGATGGCCTGAGAAAATAGCATCTCACAGAATCACAGAATCACAGAATCACCTGGGTTGGAAGGGACCTCAAGGATCACGCAGCTCCAACCCCCTGCCCAGCAGGGCCACCAAACATCCACATCACATCAGGTTGCCCAGGACCCCGTCCAACCTGGCCTTGAACACGGCCAAGGACGGGGCATCACAGCCTCCCTGGGCAGCCCGTTCCAGGGCCTGACTGCTCTCCTTGTGAAGAACTTCCCCCTAACATCCAACCTCAATCTTTCCTCCTTCAACTTGGATCCATTTCCCCTCGTCCTGCTGTTCTCAGCCCTTCTGAAGAGTTTTCTCCCCTCCTGGCTGTAGGTTCCCTTCAGGTATTGATAGGCTGCAATGAGGTCACCCCGCAGCTTCTCTCCTCCAGGCTGAACAAGCCCAACTCCCTCAGCCTGTCCTCATAGGGGAGGTGCTCCAGCCCCCTAATCTTATCTCCTTATCTAATCTCCTAAGATATGATACAAGAGTGTATATATAACGCTGGGTACCCGTTGTTGCACCTTCATCCCAATAACACAGCTCTGGATGACATAATAATGAAGGCATTGCAAGGGCTTGGTGCCACCCTTGTCGATGAAGTGGCAGAAAAATCAGGAATAGATACTTCTGTCACTGGATGGTTGGAGTTCTGGTTTGGTGAATGGAAAGGGGTGACTGCATCCACATTTACTTCTTTGATAGTAGAAGCAGGAGCCCTGATGGCCATTGGTTGCTGTGTTTGTGAGGAGACTAGTGGAGTTATTGATCAAGACAGCACTATTGAAGCAAACACCAATGGAGCCATTACATTTGGATAAAACGATGGTATTAGAGGAGATGGGAGATAAAGTGAAGACAAGGGAGACGTCTATAAAAGTGAACCTTAAAAAAAAAAAAGTTGCAGAAATCAACAATGTATAAAAAAAGAAAAAGGGGGTAATTGTGGGAATCAAATGTTGTTTCTGCATTAGAATTGTATAATATTATTTTTATTTTATGATCTCTGCTATCATAGTTCTTTTTGGGAGTCCTTCTATTTAACTTTGGGAAGATCTCTGATAAGTTTACATCACTTATTCTCTAGACGACCCTTCCCAGAAATGCACACTCTGTATATAGGTGTATAGATGTATATTTTGTCATATACACTGCAGGGATATCCTGCAGGGGAGCAAACCAGAGAACAAGTCATAGTCTGCCCGAGGAAGCACCTGAAGAGACACGGGAAGGCCTGACATCATCCCCAGTGCTCTTTGTTTAACGAAGACCTTAAAGAAAATCACCACATCAATATGACAAGGAGAGCACCGAGGCATCTTGGAAACAACAGGATGACTACTGACTGGCACCAGATAACAAATAAATGAACAAGTAAATAGCAAATGTAAACCTTCTGATCAGATTGTGAACCTGGAGTACCCAGCCAGTGGGGAAACAGGGGAGGGGGGGCGGCAAGGGGGAGAAAACAGGGTATAAAGGCTGTCATGTTGTGTCCATAGGCGCGCTCCTACTTGTGGGACGCCGCCATTGCAATCGCGAATAAATTTTGCTTTTATCAGAGATACCGTCCTGACAAAATTACTGGGATTATTTCCAACAAGAGCAACTGGGGACACGTGGAACACAGCTGCAGCTACCGGCTGGAAATTGACAGCCACCGCCTGGGGGAAGCTGGAGAGCCTGGCAGCCCCCAGCCCCACCTCTGCCTTCGCTCTGCCCTCCAGCATCCATCGGGGGATGGAAGAGAGCCCAGCAGAGCGCAGCCTTGGGGGCAACCGAGACGGACCACCGCTGCCTGGGGGAAGCCGGCTGACCCTGCAGCCCCCCGAGCATCAGCACCACCCTCCCACTGCCCTCCACCATCCTTCGGGAGATGGGAGCAACACCCCCAGGCTGTCAGTTTGGGGGCACCATCCATCGCACAGCCTGGAAGCACACCAAGACCCCCAGCCCCCCAAAGTACCACCTCTGCCCTCCCACTCCTCTCCATCATCCTTTGGGAGTTGGGAGCAACACCCCCAGGTTCTCAGTTTGGGGGCACCATCCAGCAGCCGGTCTGGGGGCACCATCCATCGCACAGCCTGGAAGCACATCGAGCCCCGCAGCCCCCAGCCCCCCCCACAGCACCACCTCTGCCCTCCCACTCCTCTCCACCATCCATCAGGGGATGGGAGCGGCCCCCCAGGTTCTCAGTCTGGGGGCACCATCCATTGCACAGCCTGGAAGCACACCAAGCCCCCCAGCCCCCCCCCAGCACCACCTCTGCCCTCCCACTCCCCTCCACCATCCCTCAGGAGTTGGGAGCAGCCCCCTCGGGGGGGGGCATCGTGCAACACCTCTAACAGCACTGCCTGGGGGAAGGACGACAGGCACAGCAGCCCCCAGACTCCCCCAGCATCACCTCTGCCCTCCCGCTCCTCTCCACCATCAGTCAGGAGGTGGGAGCGCCCCCTGCGGGCGGCTTTGGGGGCATCGCCTGACAGCCAGAGAACCACCGCTGCCATCCATGGGGCTTTCCACGCTGCGCTGTGCCAATAAATACAAATTACCATCACAATGATCCGCGCTGTCCTGTTGTCGCGTCGTTTCCCTGCCCGCTCCCAGACCCCGGTCGCTTTCCGTCATGCAGCTTCGCAGCCGCTCCGCTCCTGGGCTCCAGCAGTGGGAATTGAGGCAGATTGCAGAGGAAATCCCTGCCCCAGAGGCTGCGGTGCCCTGCGTCCCGTCTGGGGCAGGGGACGAGGGGGGCAGCTCCTTCCGCGCTGCTGCGTGAGCTTCGTGGGACAGCAGGCGCCGTGCTGCTCTGAGCAGCTCTGACCCCACCTATAATACATCGTATTTTTATTATGTATATGTAAATGTAATATGGAATAGTTCTCTATCCACGTAGGAGCAGGTTTTGTGGAGAGATAAACGTAGAGATAAGCAAACATAGAGATGAGCAAACATAGTGATAAACATAGAGATAAGCAAACATAGAGATGAGCAAACATAGAGATAAGCAAACATAGAGATAAGCAAACATAGAGATAAGCAAACATAGAGATAAGCAAGCAGAGCTGCTGGGCTTTCTGCCTGTTGCAGTTGCTTCTCAGCTCCGCAGTGCCAGAGGTGAGCAGTGCTGCCACCAAATGGACTTCGATGCGCGTCTCCTTTTTCTCCCCACCCAAAAACGCTCCTCTGCGATTGATCGCAGCGTGGCAAGGCCTCCCAGGAGCCCGGCATTGCATAGCAGGCCATCCCTGTCCTCCAGTATTAAGGAGTGTGACAGCTTGGGATGCATGGCATGAAGAGGCTCTTGGTGAGACGAAGGGCGAAGCCCAAATGAACGCCGGCATCACGATGGAGGAGCCACGTCCTCTGCCTGCTGCCCTGCCTGCGCCTCTCCCAGCTCCTGCTGCTCTTTGCAGATCTGCCCGGCGCGCGGCTCGTCCTCAGCCCCCATGGGCTCAAAGAACCCTAACCCTAACCCGAACCCAATGGGGGATCCTAAAAGGGAACCGAAATGGGGAACCCCAATAATGGGGACCCCAACCCCAATGGGGGAACCTAAAAGGGAACCGAAATGAGGAACCCCAATAATGGGGACCCCGACCCCAATGGGGATCCTAAAAGGGAACCAAGATGGGGAACCCCGAAAGTGGAGACCCCAGTCCCAGTGAGGGGATCCTAAAAGGGAACTAAAATGAGGAACCCCAATAATGGGGACCCCAACCCCAAAGGGGGATCCTTAAAGGGAACCGAAATGGGGAACCCCAATAATGGGGACCCCAACCCCAGTGGGGGAACCTAAAAGGGAATCAAGATGGGGAACCCCAATAATGGGGCCCCTGAACCCAATGGGGATCCTAAAAGGGAACCAAGATGGGGAACCCCAATAATGGGGACCCCGACCCCAATGGGGATCCTAAAAGGGAACCAAGATGGGGAACCCCGAAAGTGGAGACCCCAGCCCCAGTGAGGGGATCCTAAAAGGGAACTAAAATGAGGAACCCCAATAATGGGGACCCCGACCCCAAAGGGGGATCCTAAAAGGGAACCGAAATGGGGAACCCCAATAATGGGGACCCCAACCCCAGTGGGGGAACCTAAAAGGGAATCAAGATGGGGAACCCCAATAATGGGGACCCTGACCCCAATGGGGATCCTAAAAGGGAACCGAAATGGGGAACCCCAATAATGGGGCCCCTGAACCCAATGGGGATCCTAAAAGGGAACCAAGATGGGGAACCCCGAAAGTGGAGACCCCAGCCCCAGTGAGGGGATCCTAAAAGGGAACTAAAATGGGGAACCCCAATAATGGGGACCCCGACCCCAAAGGGGGATCCTAAAAGGGAACCGAAATGGGGGACCCCAATAATGGGGACCCCGACCCCAATGGGGGATCCTAAAAGGGAACCGAAATGGGGAACCCCAATAATGGGGACCCTGACCCCAATGGGGATCCTAAAAGGGAACCGAAATGGGGAACCCCAATAATGGGGACCCCGACCCCAAAGGGGGAACCTAAAAGGGAACCGAAATGGGGGACCCCAATAATGGGGACCCCAACCCCAGTGGGGGAACCTAAAAGGGAATCAAGATGGGGAACCCCAATAATGGGGACCCTGACCCCAATGGGGGATCCTAAAAGGGAACTAAAATGGAAAGCCCCAAAAGTGGGGACCCCAGCCCCAGTGAGGGGATCCTAAAAGGGAACTAAAATGAGGAACCCAAATAGGGACCCCAACCCCAATGGGGGATCCTAAAAGGGAACCGAAATGGGGACCGAAATGGTTCTCAATACCTCAATGGGGAAATCCTAAAAGCGCATCACTATGGGAAGCTTCCGGTCGCCATGGAAACCAATCGCGCGCCGCCGTAACCATGGCAACAGCCCCCCCCCCCCCGGTGAAGTCACACACCATAGAGACGAAGGGCCGGCTGAGGGCGGAGCGCCTCCCGCCGCGGTGCATTGTGGGACTGGGGGAGGACTGAACTGCGTGATGGGGTGGGAGATCCGGGCCTGGAGGAGGGCGGACGGCCCCGAATTGCTGCGGATGTTGCGGGTATGGGGGGGGGGGGGACGGGGGGGGTCAGGAAGGGCCCCCCCACACACAGACACCGCGGGGGACCCCCCCTCAATTTCATGTCCCCGCTGTCCAGGAATGGGCGGAACTGGAGGGGGGGCCCAGGCCTTCGTGTGAGGAGGGTGAGGGCCCCGAAGCACGTGACCCCGCCGAGACCTATGACCTTTGACCCCCCCCCTCCTCGTGACCCTCACCGTGGGAACCCCACGTAATATTGGGGGGGGGGGGGGGGAAGGAATTCACTTCGAAATTGAGACCCCCCCCCCCAATAATGGGACCCTCAGAATGGGACCCCTCCCCAATAATGACCCCCCCCCATGACCTCCTGACCCCCCATGTGACCCCCTAATAACTCTGACCCCAAATGCCCCCCCCCCCCCAAATGGGACCCCTCCAAAATGCGACCCCCCCCCCCAATGACCTCCTGCCCCCCCATGCGACCCCCAAATAATCCTAACCCCAAATGCCCCCCCCCAATAATGCGACCCCCCCATGACCCCCTGACCCCCAAATAATTCTTCCCCCAAATGCCCCCCCCCAAAAATGGGACACCCCCTAAATGGGACCCCCCCTCCAAAGTGACCCCCCCATGACCTCCTTTCCCCCCATGTGACCCCCAAATAACCCTGACCCCAAATGCGACCCCCCCCAATAATGCGACCCCCCCCCCCTTGACCTCCTGACCCCCAAATAACCCTGACCCCAAAAACGTGGAGCCGCCCCCCCCCCCAATAAAGAAACCCCAATAATTCGGGCCCCCCTCCTGCCCCCACCCCTCCCCCCCCAGCTCTGCTCGCCGCCCTCCATGGCGCCGCCCCCCCCCCCGTGCTGCTGGTAGCCGAGCGCTCAGGTGAGACCCCCCCCAATTCGGGGGGTTTGGGGGTGGGGGGGGATGAAGGGGGGGGGTCCCCTAATTTCGGTGCCCCCCCCTCCCCAATTCAGGGCCCCCCCTGGGGGGTTTTGCTGTGGCTTCGTGGGGCTTCAGCACCTGGAGGGGCCGCGACCTGCGCGTGGGGGAGCTGTGGGTGCCGCCCGCGCTCAGAGGTGGGGCTGCCCCTGCCCCATAGATCCCCTCCCTGCCCCATAGATCCCCCTGACCCATAGATCCCCATAGATCCCCTCCCTGCCCCATAGATCCCCCTGCTCCATAGATCCCCATAGATCGCCCTGCCTCATAGATCCCCCCCCACCCCATAGAAACCCCCTGCCCCATAGATCCCCCCCTGCTCCATAGAAACCACCTGCCCCATAGATCCCCCTGATCCATAGATCCCCCTGACCCATAGATCCCCATAGATCCCCCCCACCCCATAGAAACCCCCTGCCCCATAGATCCCCCCCCGCCCCATAGAAACCCCCTGCCCCATAGATCCCCCTGACCCATAGAACCCATGACCCGTAGAACCCCCTGACCTGTAGAACCCCCCCTGACCCATAGATGCCCATAGATCCCTCCCCCTGCCCCATAGAAACCCTCCCTGCCCTATAGATCCCCCTGCCCCATAGATCTCTATAGATCCCCCCTCCCCCATAGATCCCCCCCCAGCCCCATAGAACCGCCTGCCCCATAGAACCCCCTTGCCCCTTAGAAACCCCCTGCCCCATAGATCCCCCCCTGCCCCATAGAACTGCCCTGCCCCATAGAACCGCCCGCCCCATACAAACCCCCTGCCCCATAGAACCGCCTGCCCCATAGAACCCTCCCACCCCATAAATCGTCCCCCTCCTCTCCCCCCAAACCAGACCAAGGGCTGCAGGAGCTGCTGCTGCGTGGGGTGGCCCAGGTAAATTTGAGGGGGGGGCGAAAGGGGGCCGGGGTGGGGGGGACAGAGGGGGAGTCAGGGGGGGCTTCCAACCCTCTGAAGCCCCCCCCCAAAAAAAGGGGGCTCCCAAAGAATCCCCCCACCGCATGGAACCCTTCTGACCCCATAGAATTCTATCCTAAAGAACCCCCCCACCCCATAGAACCCCCCCACCCCAAACGACCTCCCACCCCATAGAGCCCCGCCCCACAGCCCCCCATCCCCCCCCACAGCCCCCCCCTCCCCCCCCACCCCACAGAAGCCCCCCAACCCATAGAAAAAAGCCATGGTGGGAGGGGGGGGGGGGGGGAGGAGCAGAAGGGGGTCGGTGAGGGGGGGGGGGGCTTCCAACCCTCCGAAGCCCCCCCCCAAACCCCCCCACCCCCCCCAGGTCGCCGTGGCTGCAGGCTGCGCTCAGCTGAGAGTGGAGGTGGGGGGGGAGGGGGCGCCTTTGGACCCCCCCTCTTTTGGGGCCGTCGATTTGGGGTCCAGCGAGGGCTGGTTGGGGGTCAGCTTCCAGGGGGCGGCGCTGCAGGAGCTGGCGGGAGCCCCCCCCCTCCCCCAAAAAAGGAGCCCCTCCCTCTAAAATGGAGCCCCCCCCCAATAAAGCTGCACTGTTTGAATGAGTTCTGTTATTTTACGGGGGGGGGGGGGGGGCCTCAATAGCGACCCCTCCCAAAGCAGAAAACATCCTGCCCCATAGAGCCCCCCCACCCCACAGATCTGCACCATAGAGCCCCCCCACTGCATAGAGCCCCCCTCGCCCCATAGATCCACCCCATAGAAACCCCCTGCCCCATAGAGCCCTCCCACCCAATAGACCCCCCCCATAGAGCCCCCTCTCGCCCCATAGATCCACCACATAGAACCCCCTTGCCCCCCACCCATCCAGGCCCTGCAGCTTCCCGCAGACCCCCCCCCCCCCCCATTTATTAAGATAACGACCAATTAAGGGGGGAGGGCCCCATTTTGGGGGGGGGGGGTCTCATTTATTAAGATAACCAGCCACTAAAGGGGGGGGGGGGTCGCATTTTGAGGGAGGGTCCCATTTTGGGGGGGGGTGTCTCATGTTTTAAGATAACCAGCCATTAAAAGGGGGGTCTCCATTTACAGGAGGGGGCTCATTTATGAAGATAACGACCAATTAAGGGGGGGGGGGCCGGGTCCCATTTCGTCGCCCCCCCTTCCAGGCCCCGCAGCCTCCCCCAGACCCCCCCCCATTCATTAAGATAACGAGCATTCATTAACATAGCGACCAATTAAGGGGGGGCCGGGTCCCATTCTGCCCCCCCCCGCAGCCTCCCCCAGACCCCCCCCCATTCATTAACGATCAATTAAGGTGCGACCGGCTCCCTCCTGCCCCCCCCTCGCTCCCCCGCCCCCCCTCCCCCCATCCAGTCCCCGCAGCCCCCCCCCCCATTCATTAAGATAACAACCATTCATTAAGATAACAACCATTCATTAACACAGCGACCAATTAAGGGGGGGCCGGGTCCCATTCTGCCCCCCCCGCAGCCTCCCCCAGACCCCCCCTCATTTATTAAAGATCAATTAAGGGGGGGGGGCCGGCTCCCACTTCGCCCCCTCCCCCCCCCCCGTCCAGTCCCCGCAGCCTCCCGCAGACCCCCCCCATTCATTAAGACCACGACCATTCATTAACATATCAATCAAGGGGGGGCCGGGTCCCAGCTCCCCCAGACCCCCCCCCCCATTCATTAACGATTAATTAAGGTGCAGCCGGCTCCCCTCCTGCCCCCCCTCCCGTCCAGACCCCGCAGCCTCCCGCAGACCCCCCCCATTCATTAAGACCACGACCATTCATTAACACAGCGACCAATTAAGGGGGGGGCCGGGTCCCATTCTGCCCCCCTCGCAGCCTCCCCCAGACCCTCCCCCCATTCATTAACGATTAATTAAGGGGGGGGGGCCGGCTCCCATTTCGTCCCCCCCCCCCCCATCCAGACCCCGCAGCCTCCCGCAGACCCCTCCCCATTCATTAAGACCACGACCATTCATTAACATATCAATCAAGGGGGGGCCGGGTCCCAGCTCCCCCAGGACCCCCCCCCCATTCATTAACGATCAATTAAGGTGCGGCCGGCTCCCTCCTGCCTCCCCCTCGCCCCCCCTCCCCCCATCCAGTCCCCGCAGCCCCCCCCCCATTCATTAAGATAACGACCAATTAAGGGGGGGCCGGGTCCCATCCTGCCCCCCCCCCGTCCAGTGCCCGCAGCCTCCTGCAGACCCCCCCCATTCATTAAGATAACGACCATTCATTAACACAGCGACCAATTAAGGGGGGGCCGGATCCCAGCTCCCCGCAGACCCCCCCCCCTCATTCATTAAAGATCAATTAAGGGGGGGGGGGGGGCTCCCACTTCAACCCCCCCCCCCCCCATCCAGACCCCGCAGCCTCCCGCAGACCCCTCCCCCATTCATTAAGACCACGACCATTCATTAACATATCAATCAAGGGGGGGCCGGGTCCCAGCTCCCCCAGACCCCCCCCCCCATTCATTAACGATTAATTAAGGTGCAGCCGGCTCCCCTCCTGCCCCCCCTCCCGTCCAGTGCCCGCAGCCTCCCGCAGACCCCCCCCATTCATTAAGATAACAACCATTCATTAACACAGCGACTAATTAAGGGGGGGCCGGGTCCCATTCTGCCCCCCCCCGCAGCCTCCCCCAGACCCCCCCTCATTCATTAAAGATCAATTAAGGGGGGGGGGCCGGCTCCCATTTCGTCCCCCCCCCCCCCCCGTCCAGACCCCGCAGCCTCCCGCAGACCCCCCCCCATTCATTAAGACCACGACCATTCATTAACATATCAATCAAGGGGGGGCCGGGTCCCAGCTCCCCCAGACCCCCCCCCCCCCATTCATTAACGATTAATTAAGGTGCAGCCGGCTCCCCTCCTGCCCCCCCTCCCGTCCAGTGCCCGCAGCCTCCCGCAGACCCCCCCCATTCATTAAGACCACGACCATTCATTAACACAGCGACCAATTAAGGGGGGGCCGGGTCCCATTCTGCCCCCCTAGCAGCCTCCCCCAGACCCTCCCCCATTCATTAACGATCAATTAAGGGGGGGGGGCCGGCTCCCATTTCGTGTCCCCCCCCACTTCGGCCCTCCCCCACTTTCGCCCCCCCCCCCCCCCATCCAGACCCCGCAGCCTCCCGCAGACCCCCCCTCATTCATTAAGATAACGAGCATTTATTAACATAACGACCAATTAACGGGGGGCCGGGTCCCATTCTGCTCCCTCCGCAGCCTCCCCCAGACCCCCCCCCCATTCATTAAGACCACGACCATTCATTAACATATCAATCAAGGGGGGGCCGGGTCCCAGCTCCCCCAGACCCCCCCCCCCCCCAATTCATTAACGATCAATTAAGGGGGGGGGGGGGGGCCGGCTCCCATTTCGTGTCCCCCCCCCCCCCCCCCCCCCAGACCCCGCAGCCTCCCCCCCTTCATTAAGATAACGAGCATTTATTAACATAACGACCAATTAACGGGGGGCCGGGTCCCATTCTGCCCCCCCCGCAGCCTCCCCCAGACCCCCCCATTCATTAACGATCAATTAAGGTGCAGCCGGCTCCCCTCCTGCCCCCCTCCCGTCCAGACCCCGCAGCCTCCCGCACGCCCCGGCCCAGACGCCGCCCCACACCCGGTAGCGGTGGTTGAGCGCCGCCCTGCCGTGCAGGCCGTACCGCGTGGCCAAGGCGCCGTGCGCCGCCGCGGCTCCGAAGAGCAGCCTGCGCACCCGGGCGTGGAGCAGCGCCATGGCGCACAGCACGCACGGCTCCCTCGTCACGTAAACGTCCCACCCCGAGCACAGGTAGCCGCCCGCCGCCCCCCCCCCCGAAGCGGGCCGCCCCCCGGCCCCCCCTGCGCCGCCCCGCTCCGCTCCGCCGCCCGCCGTCTCCCCCCCCCCCCCCCTTCCCCACCGCGTCCGTCGCCCCCCTTCTCTCTTCTGTCACCCCCTGGGCCGCCTCTTCTTCCACCCCCCCCCTTCTCACCCCCCTCCTCCGTTCCACCACCCATCGTCTCCCCCCCACCCCCTTTCCACCCCTCCTCTTTATCACCCCCCCCTTTCTCACCATTTCCACCCCCCTCCCCCGTCCCACTACCCACCATCGTCTCCCCCCCACCCCCTCCGCCACCCCCTTCGCCCCCCTCCTCCTTTTTGTCACCCCTTCTTCCACCCCCCCCTTCCTCACCCTTCCCACCCCCCTCCTCCGTCCCACCACCCATCGTCTCCCCCCCACCCCCTCCACCCCCCCTCCCGTTTTTGCCCCCCCTCCCATCACCCCCTTCCTCACCCCCAACTTTCTCGCCCTCCTCCCCCCCCTCCCCCATCCCACCACCACCCACCACCATTTCCCCCCCACCCCCTCCGTCACCCCCTTCGCCCCCCTTCCCTTTTTTGCCACTCTCTGTGCCCCCCCTTCCATCACCCCCATCCTCGCCCCCCCCCTCTGCCACCCTTCTCCCCCCCCTCCTCCGTCCCCCCGCCCCCCCCCTTCGCCCCCCTTCCCTCCCCTCCTCCCCCTCCCCTCCCCCCCAGCCCCCCCCCCGTCCCCGCCGCCCCCCCCCCTCTGTCCCCTGGCCACCGCCGCCAGCACCTCCATCACGGCGTGTCCCAGCGGGTTGCCCCCCCCCTCCTGGTGTCCCACGCCGCGGCCACGACCCTCCCGCTCACCGGATCGACCACGGCCGCCCCGCACGGCACCATCCCCCTCCTGGCCCCGCGTCTCGCCGCCCTCACGGCCGCCGCCATCCCCGACGTGTCGCCGATCTCTTCCTTCTCGCTTTTGTCCCCTCTGTCGCCTCGGGAAACCCACGGCCAAAGGCCCGAAGTCACCGCCGTCTCCGTCTCGGCTCCAGGGGCCGGGAGGCGTCCGGGGAGACGGACGCGGAACGGGGGGCCGAGGCCGTGGGGTGACACCCCCCGACCCAAAAGGACCTGCAGAGGGGGCAGGGGGTGCGGGGGACGAGGGGACGGGGGTGGCCGTAGGGGTCCTGGTGGCATCTGGAGGTGATGGAGACGCGGGGACATCAATGGTGGCACTTGGTGACCCCATATCCAGGGGCACATGGGCAGCCATAGGGGTCCTGGTGGCATCTGGAGGTGATGGAGGCGTGGGGACATCATTGGTGGCACTTGGTGACCCCACATCCATGGGGATGTGGGTGGCCGTAGGGGTCCTGGTGGCACCTGGACGTCCTGAAGCCATGGGGACATCGGTGACACTTGAGGTTCTTTGGGTCCATGGGGACGTTGGTGGCACTTGGTGGCCCCACATCCATGGGGATGTCAGTGGCTGTAGGGGGTCCTGGTGGCACCTGGAGGTGCTGGAGCCATGGGGACGTCGGT